CGACCACTCTGTATATTTTCCGCTAAAAGTAGGTAAAACTATTTTTGGCAATCTTACCACACTGCTGTCAGATGAACCATCGCAACCTTCCTTCCTGGAGCTGTGAACTTTTAATTGGGACAAAACATTTTTTAATTCTACCTTGTACATTAAATAACACTCATAAACCGTCTCATAGATATCTTCCTGGAAAAAGTCCTGTAATTCTTCACTTTCGCAATCACCTACGATGACTTCATATTTCGCAGAAAAATTCTTGAATTGGGTCTCTAACATCTCTAAACGTGCATCGACATAATTGTAGTTTATCCGATCTCTCGGGGACTTCTTGTAATTTATCCAGCCCTTTTCAATTTGTAATTTGATATCTTTCAGCTTTCTTAGTTCTTTCTCCATGTTGTTTGTATTCATGAAAATATTTTAAGTCCAGTGAAAGATAGATGAAAATTCTCTAAGTGTCGCTGACAGTTGACAATTGACAAATTTTCCAAGTCCAAACTATAGAGAATTTTTCTAAGTGTTTAATACTTTGTAGATCGCTTCGAAATCGGGCATAGATTCGACGTCTGATCGTTTTTCTCGAAACTATTCTAAGTCCCTGATCGAATGCACGCGAATTTTTCTAAGTCCCTAGTTTTAATGATTTGAATGTACTCACAGTTCTTTGTCCACAATTATGCACTTCACTTCACTACTACGAAGTTCAACGATGTTTCCCGATGTTTGTCCTCGGCAGCTGAGCACGTAGTCTTCCACATGTGGTATTGTTAACCGACAACTATCACCATCTCGTATCAATTAGCACAACTATATTTAATTGTATGTGTTCTTCCATAAACACCCTTCGGCTCGACTGGACCATGAACAGTATCGGCCGAAAGTCCTTTGGAGCCTATTACTTGAAATAATACGAAGTACCTCAGAGCAAGACAATTTATTTATGTCAAAGCAGACAACCTAATGTTTTGCCGGTAACGAAACCATAGCTTGAATTTAAATCGGCCAACGCCATCTATCGAGCTATGGGACAACACAATAAATAGTAGTATGGTGTTGGCCGAGTGCATCTTTTAAACAGATTATTTCTACACTGAACACACTCAATGCATACCGACTCAATAAAAAATCATATTAAATATAATAATACATATACTACATACAATAATACCTATACATTATTAAGAAATTTATGTAAATACATTATTATAATAAAATAAAGATAATATTTTAATGTTTAATGAAAACAACATTTCTTATGTTATAATATAATAAGTATTGATAGTAGTTTAATTAGATTATATTTTTGCTTAATATGTTGCCGTGCCCTAGCCGGGTTTCATGTTGATACTGTACCTCATATAACACCAATTGTACACATGATATGCAATAAAAGAATTTGAATTTGAATTTGAATTTGAATTTGGATTACTGAGGGTTGGTGGCAGGATAAGCAACGCAAGGATAAACAAAAACATGCAACATCCAATTATCATTCCTCATAGCGGACTACTTACCGATCGATTGATAGATCAAGGTCATCAGATGACTTTCCATGGTGGAGCTCGTCTAACACTGGCGTGGTTAAGACAGGAATTTTGGATTATTGGTGGAAATCGTGCTATCAAAAAACGCTTACATAAATGCGTCACATGCAGAAGGCATAATCCTGTAAAAAATACACAATTAATGGGAGACTTACCTGAATCACGAAGTAATCCATCGCGACCTTTCAATCATACTGGTGTCGACTTCACCGGCTATGTGGACATTAAGGCGAACAAAGGACGTGGCATTAAGACGACCAAAGGTTATATAGCTGTATTTGTGTGTATGGCGACCAAGGCTGTGCATCTAGAACTCGTATCCGACTTGAGCTCAGCCGCCTTCCTAGCAGCACTAAGGAGGATGGCAGCCCGGAGAGGGGCTCCAAATCATATTTACAGCGATAATGGGACAAATTTTGTCGGAACCAACAAAGTATTACGTGAAGAATACATCAATTTGCGAAACACTCTTGACGAGGAGTTCTACACAGCTATCACAGATATGCAAATACAATGGCACTTTAATGCACCTTCCTGGCCAAATGCAGGGGGACTTTGGGAAGCAGCTGTCAAAAGTCTCAAACACCACATCAAGAGAGTTGTAGGCGAGCAGAAACTAACGTATGAGGAGTACTCAACATTACTAGCACAGTTAGAAGCTTGTCTCAACTCGAGACCACTTTGCGCTATCAGCGAAGACCCTGAGGATATGGATTACCTTACTCCGTCACATTTTTTATCGAGTGGACCCACACTAACTATAATTGAAACTGAAAAAGACCCCAGAACAAGATGGCAGCTTACTCAGAAAATTTACGATGATATCTGGAAACGGTGGAAAGCCGAGTATCTATCTCAGTTATCAGCACGCAGCAAGTGGCGGCAGCCACAATCAAACTTAAAGATCAACGACATTGTTATTATCCATGACGCTAATTTACCACCCGGAAAGTGGGCCACTGGCAGAATCATAAAGCTTCACCCCGGCAAGGACGGCTGCGTTCGTGTGGTATCTGTAAAAACCAAAAATGGGGTAATCAAGAGGCCAATCATAAAACTTTCCTTGTTACCAGTACACGAACTAAATCAACCTGAAAACAATTCAGAGCAAAATAATATTACAACACAGCAAAACAAACAACCGTCAGATTCTAATAAAAATGAATCATTGAGAAATAAATCGAGACGTCGTCGTAGGGGCAAAATCAGCAACTTTATTTACATTGCTCTCATGTTTTTAATGTTAATCATAACACCATCTAGTTGTGATTATAAAACAGCACCTTTGAATAGCAATCAGAGCATTTATTTCGATAAGATCTCCAACATGCGCCTCGAACGAGACGAGTGGAAATTAATTGTTTACTATGATATGAATCCCTATTGGCAAGGCTTTGTTCTGCTTAAAAAATACGTTGATCATCTGGGCAAATATGTGCTAATACAACAAACATATCACAATGTGACGCAATACTCATTCAACTACGTCACAGTAAGAATGAACTTGACCATTACAATAGCATGTTGTTTGGTCAGCAATTCACGGAGAATATCCGACGTAAGCGCGGTCTTATCAATCCTATAGGAAGCGTAGCGCGAAGCTTGTTTGGTGTCCTAGACGACGAGTTTGCTCAGCAATATGCCCGAGATATACATCAAATCAAGCGTAACCAAAAGCATTTGACTTCTTTATGGAAAAATAACACATCCATTGTTGAATCAGAGAACAACATCATCAAAAGAGTTGAAAATGAGATGGATAGACATCACAAGGTTTTCAATCAGCACCTGATCAGCTTAGAGAAGGGATTTAACACAATTCAGGGAGGAGTTCAAGAATCACTAATTTCTAACAGTTTTAGTATTTCTTCCATCGTTGCTAACAGCATTCTAATAAACTTAAAAACAATCCAAGAAAACATCGTGGATACTATTATGAACCTACACCATACAGGTTTCAATATTCACCTTTTAACACCTGAACAGCTGACGGATGAACTTAATATCATAACAGGACAGTTAGCAACAGAATTGACTCTTCCAATAGATAATATTCAGTCGGATTTATCTAAATTGTATCATTTATTAAAGACTAAAGCAAGAATTACGCAGCAGCTAATAATCTTCGAAGTAAAAATACCCTTAGTAAGCAGAGACAGCTATGACATCTACAAGATCATAACAATACCACAGCAAGTTGAAAGTAAAATGATCAGTATCATTCCCATAGCAGATATTCTCGCAATTAATTTACAGAAGGATGCATATATTCCAATGACGGAAAACGAAGTCCAGACCTGTATGTTTTATGACACAGAAACGTACATCTGCCCTTTAAAGGGTCCAGTTCATCAATGAGGTCAGATGAAAACCTCTGCATTAGAGAAAATAAATCTAATCGTTGCAGGACTGCATCTACTATCTGCACAAATCATTGGACAGAACTTAATAAAATAAATACATATCTCTATTTTTGTTGCGGACTGTGCTCCATAAGAATCATGTGCGAATATCAAGTTACGGCCGAACAATTAACTAAGGCCGGCGTTATCATGCTCGGAAATGGATGCGTCATCAAAGGCGATACTTACACAGTTTATTCACATAAACTACTATCCAATACTTTGAAGATACGGCAGACGTTCTGAGAATAGATATCCCACCCATCAACAATATAATCAATTTATCAATACCTATTGGTGCAATTAATGAACAGTCTGAGCATACCCACATCGAGACCCAAGGTCTAGTAAAGAAAGTCCACGATCAGTTGAGTCAGATGAAAGATTCAACGAGCATTGATGAAGATTATAACGACGGGTTCTCATATCACGACTTGCATCATTACACGGTGATATACTTATTGGCGTTCGCCCTGTGTGCGGCAGGAGCCGTGCACGTGTGGCGGCGTCTTCGGCGTGTGCGCAGCGTGGCTCTGCCCGCGCGCACGCCTCGTCAGCAGCTTCAGAGTGCTAGTGTAATTAGTGTAAATGAGCTATCGGGACCCGGTGATATTGAGCTCAGTGCAATTTCAAGTGCGTGTAAACAAAACAGGGCTACATCGCCTATGTTACGTGAATCTGTTTTAAGTTAAAATAAATAACACTTTTATAGACTTTAAGTTTGTGTGTCAACCAATATTGTGTTCTCTATTATTATCATTGTCTTTTTAAATTCTTACATTTACGTATGTTATTTTTTGATTTTTTATCTTAGTCTCTCGTGCCTGGGAGCATGTACGGTCCACCCGTACAATTATTGGAATATTGTAGAATAAGTACTTTTGTACCGCGAGCGCACTTTACTTCAGTTCGCGTTCGATTCTCGCCGCGGTTACTCATTTGTATCATGTAACTATCATTAAAGTTATATTATCACTATATCATCGTATCATTTGTAGTTGTCCCGTACAACATTATTTCAACGTATTCTAAAGTGCGGAGGGGTGTGACATACCCTTGATAAGTTTGACGGCGAACTCGTAGGTGGTGTACGGTTTGAGGTCGTCGAGCATGCAGTTGAGGTCGGTGGCGTTGAAGGTCCGCGCCCGGCCGCCGGCGCTGGCCCAGCGCACGACGTAGCGGCGGCCGTCCGTCGCCGTCTGGCCCTTGGCCAGCGTCGGGTCCGTCCAGTACACCACCGCCGTGCTGCCGCTCAGCATTATCACCTGGACGTATACACACCACACATTATGAAAGTGAAATACATAAACTATGTGTTTATTATCGTATATATATAAGACTGGACAATTTTTCACATGGCCGGTTTAACCGGATTAATATTATGACATCACAGTACATGGGCGTTAAGCAATGCATGCGTTGTATTTTATCGTAAGAATAAGATCACTGGAAACCAGATCCGTCCCATCTCCCGTCTTAAATCCCCAATCTTCCTATCCCTACCCCCAAAAAGGTCGGCAACGTACTTGCAACACTTATAGGATAGCAAGATGTCCACTATCTACGGGCGACAATAATTGCTAACCTTCAGATGATTCGTCTACCATATCCCACAAACAAAAACTACTCAAGTATCTCCCCATACCTTAACCCCCACAGGGGGTATAAGCGGGGGTGGTTCGTCCTCCTCGTCCTCATCCTCTTCGTCCTCGTCCTCCGGTTCGTCCTCGTCGTCGGCGGGAGGTTTGGTCCTCACCGTGGCGTACACCGCGGGGCCCAGGCCGCGGGAGTTGCTCGCGCGGAGGGAGATCACGTACTCTGCGTTCGATTCTATCAAACACGATGGTTACATACAAATTAATGAGCTGTCAAAAATTGGTGTTTAATGGAAATTTTCTGAGACAAAGAGGACCTTACGTCACATTAGTGCCAGTCAGTACAAAAATGTAAATCGACTACTCAAAATTATTTTCTTCTGTTGTGTGAATAAACAGTATTTAATTGTATGTTCGACAAATAAAGAATAATAATTATAAGAATTTGTATAAGACGACAAGTGTATTGGTCGTTTAGTTATTGCGTTAATAATGTAGTTATTTATATTCTCAACACACCCGAGACTTGTTTTGATGCTTTATTGTTATTTTTGTACATTTCTAGCTTACAGTAGTTACGGCGGTAAAGCAATTATTTCTATATATTGTAAATTGTATTAACTATAAATTACGAATTACTCACGTAAATACACCGAGGGCTTAGTATGTGGTACGAGTTTATTTTATGTTTAAAGTAATCGAAATGAGTACGCGTTCGGCGCTGTGATTGGTAGGTTCATTGGAGCTGGCCAATCAAAGCAGAATAGGCTGCGCAATATCGCCATTAGGAAGAGTCTCTCTGTCACTCGAAACTAGTAGAGCTTTTCTTAGTATATTTACGTGAGTAAACCGCTATTTTTAATTAATTCATTATGTGTTACGACAGTTATTATAAAAATGGTAGATTTAGTTGACAAAAGGCGTTGAAGCACATTACCGAGTCCGCGGATGACGTGGGAGTGCAGATGCGGCGGCAGTTCGCGCGCGGCGTCGTCGGGCACGCCGAGCCCCCAGCCCAGCACCAGCCCGCGCAGCAGCACGCCGCCCTGCGCCGCGCCCCACCACACGCTGATCCAGTCGCGCCCCGCGCGCGCTGCCATGGTGATCGTCAGTTAACCAGACGATTTGACAATGGTCCCAACTCGTCAGCCGATACATTTAGATACGCCGTAGGGACTCATGTAAGTATGTAAGGCAGAGTGAAAGGTCAGCATAATGTATGCGCGCGTGATGTTTGCTTTGGAACGCCAGGTATTGCGCACTGACGTGAGTGAACGGACATCAGGGATTACGCGAAATATAATCGACTTACACAACCTAATTTTCATTGACTCGAGAGCCTGGCTCCAGACGAAGCAGTACTGAAAATAGAGATTACCAGAAACAGACCCACTTATTGTATAATCCCTAAAAAGCTATGTTTCCGATTGCTTCAGATGTTGCACCTTCAAGACATTAATTGACGAGGTTTCTACCGAGATAAATTCCAGCTAACAATTTTCTTTATTAACAGTAATGTCTATTATCATCTAACAAATTATTCACTGAGAAGAAATCATTGAAGAAAAGATTTTTACCAACTGACTTACAATCCACCGCTGTATAACCAGTTGTCGCTTTTGTTTCTTCAAAATAAAATGCTGACAATAAATTAGACAAGTTTCCAATCGGGAAGAAATGAGTAAATAACAACTCAATAATGATAAAGTAATGAAGGCGTACGTACTGGTGAGCGGCGGCGGCGCGGGCGGCACGGTGGTCTCGTCGAGCTCGTGGCGCTGCGTGGCGGCCGACACCCACTCGCTGAACGGACCCGAGCCGTTCGCGTTGATGGCGCACACGCGGATCTACCGCCACGTTACAAATGTACACGTTACACGCGTGCGCAATACTTTAACCTACTCACATTGACTTCTAAATATCGTAATAAATCAAAAAGTCAACATATTTTCTTTGAATATTGAAATAAACAGTAAGAAGGAACCTGTTAATGAAGTGTATGAGTTTAAACGTTTAAATGTTTAGTTTAAATTCTTGTGTAATATCTTACGTCAAAAAAAACTATTCGGCTGCATTAACGTTGTTCTAACAGCGAAATTAACACACCCAGTAAACAAACCTATAGTTACCTGATAAGTGGTAGCAGTATCCAACCCCCTCAGTTCAGCTCTCCTCTGGTCTGCAGGCGTGGTCAGTGAGTCTGCCTTCTTCCTGGTGGCGGGCCCCGCGCCCGGGGTGGCGGGGCCCGGCGACGGGGCCGGCGATAGAGCACGGTAACGTACTTTGTAACCTGTCAGAGCCCCGCGGTGGGTGCGGGACGGGGGCGCTTCCCAACGAACGAGGATTGACTGTGGAAGACGGTTTTATGGTACAATTAGTAACTGTAATTGTAACAAGTAACGATTGTCAAATAAAACAGACTAGACAAGTCAATATAGTGTATGGTTTAAACATAAAGGCAGAATGGAAAATATTGCGACGACTTTGAATAAGTGAAAATAAAGTAAGAGAAGACGATTTGATTATTCTAAATGCATAGTTACCGTAGCACCAGTAGGTATGGCGGAGACGTTGGCAGGGGCGGCGGCGGGCGCGTCCCCCGGGGTCCGCGCGCGCACGGAGGCGGGCGCGCCGCCGGCCGCCGCGACGCGCACGGTGTAGGCGGCGGCGGCGCGCAGCGCGCCCAGCGTCACAGCCTGCGCCGCGCCGCGCCCCGCGCCCGCCTCCACCCACTCCAACTGCTCGCGACCACTCTCCTCCTGGTAATGTACAAAACACATTAACATCTACCAATAATTATATCATCGAAACAACAGATGTTTCGACTTGACTAGTTTTAATTAACTACTTGTTTATTTCGATATTTATTTAGGAGCGGGAGCAGCTTAAGAGAATCCATTTGAATTTACGCGAAGAGAATTATTATAGAAAAAGTATTACGCATATTTTATAAGTTAAAATTGGGTACTCACTTCTGTATAATGCACAGAGTACTTGGTAGGTGGCGGGGCTCCTATGGGCGGGCCCCACGACACACGCAGGGAGTGCGGCCCTGTCGCCTCCGCTCGTAAGTCCACCGGGGGCCCGTGAGATACTTCCTCCTCTGCTGTTACTACTTCTATCGTCTGTGTGACGTAACAGAAATAATGTTATTTGATTTATTATTGTTAGTCTCTAGACAAATCGTATGTGGACACAAATGCAACTATAACGTATACTTACAATTAATAATCTTATAAAGATAAAACTTGAATAAAATTATACTTGGTTCCTTTTACATATTAAAGGGTAGGGTTTCAAGAATTTAAATTGATTATGGATAAAACACGATAGCTCAATAGCGAAGGTGTCGACATAGCCAATCCAATATTTCACGATTTGTATCGAATCATTGTATTATGTGTCCCTTGGGAAGTATTGCATGTTAGATTGGCTAACAAAGTGGTCGAGTGTACGTACGTCGGAGAGCGGCGAGGTGCCCCGCGCGGTGTAGGCCAGCACGGCGAAGGAGTACGTGGTGTTGGGCTGCAGGGCCGCCACGTTCATCTCGTGCCGCCCCGCGCCGCCGCGCCACACGCGCTCTCTGCATACACACATACATACATACATACAGTGTCACAGGGCCGAGGACGAGTTACAATTTCCCACGCTACAGTATATTATTGAATACATAATGGTAAGTAAAAATATATTTGATTAATAAAAAAAATGTGGTGGCTTTTGAAATTCATCAAATAGATAATGTATCTAGTCGTATTTGAGAAGGATGCGTTTAGAATTAGATGGTGGAAACATATTCGCAGAATGTTCGGTAATAGGATTATGAGACAGTTGTAGGCGCACACAAGGGTTGGATGGCGGCGGTGACTGACCTGTCGCTGCCCTTGACCTTGTAGAGCACGGCGTACCCGGTGACGTCGTCGTCCGGCTGCGGCGGTTGCCAGCTCAGCGTCACGAAGCGATGCTTCACTATGACGGCGCGCAGCTCGCGCGGCGCCGCGCCCGAGCTGTTGCCAGCTCGCAGCTGCTCCAGGTCCAGGCCTTGCGCAGCATGAAACGAATCGTCATCGTCAGTGACGTCACTATCGTCGTACTCATCCAGTTCCGAGTACTCCAGTGGCGGCGCTGTGTATGCTGATGAGGTTTCTCCCAAGAAGTCCTCGTCCTCGGGTACTTGTGTGGATGCTGTGAGGGTCGGGAGTGCGTCGTTGGGAGTGCTCGGTACCTCTACTGTTATGTTGTGCATCTCTGTAAGGTATGGTTAGGGGGACGGGGGGAAAATAAATAAAACAAAATTAAAATAAAAGAATCAAACTTGAACATAATATCATTAGGTAACAGGATGGGAATACACACACAAATCTAATTATACGACAACACAAGGACGGATTCAAAAACGAAAAAAAAAACAAATTATTTGGAAACAAGGTGTGAAATGATTATTTTTCAACAAGCAATAGATGTCGCAGTTAGTGTAGCAGGTGGTGTTACCGTCGTCGGGCGGCAGCACCAGCAGACGCACGGCGGCGAGCGCGGAGCCGGCGCGGGACGACGCGGCGCATTGGAACATGCCCGCGTCCACGCGCAGCACGCCCTGGATGCGCAGCGACGACCTGCGGGGGGGGGGGTGTACTCGACAGGACATGGGGCGTTTATTTTACAATAGTGATCAACTAAAATATTGCTTTTTTTAGGGCTTTAATATAACGCTTGCTCTATACATATAAAGATCTTACATTCATTATGTAACAACCTGTACAACGACAACGTACAATCAAGGACTTATACGTATGATCAGTCATAGAACAGCGGCGTTAAGCTACGCCCCTTTAAGATTTTCATTAAAAACATTTAACGGAATGGCTAACAAAATGTTAATTGTCTATTAATACCGGTAAGACGGAACTGTGTACAGCAGATAATGTAAATGTAGCATACCCATCAACCAGCGCGATGTCGTGGTTATTGGGCGTGAGCGGGTCCCCGTCCTTGAGCCAGAGCACGGCGGGCGGCGGCGGCCGCGCACGTCGCAGCGCAGCGTGACGTCCCCGCGCGCGCGCGCCGCCAGCGCGGCCGGCCGCACGGCGGCGCGCGGCGGCGCCAGCACGTGCAGCTGCGCCGAGCTGTCGGCCGAGTCCAGGCGCGAGTGCGCGCGGCACGTGTACGCGCCCGCGTCCAGCGCGCGCGCCGTCTGCACGCGCAGGGACCCCGACCCCACCAGGTAGAAGCGGGAGTCCAGGTCGCTGGCACAGACACTTGCTTAATTACTACGGTCATAAAAGAACTGCCCTCGAGACCAATTATACCAACACTGCGGCTAACTTATCCATACACCAGACAATTGTATTTGCTACGAGTAGCCAACATTCTAGCAACTGAAGAGAATCCATTCTTTCTCTAGAAGAACACCACAAAACAGACTTTTACATTTCTCCTATTTTACTTAATTCATTGTACATATTTTTTTTCTTTACACAACGTTTCCCCACATTAGTATTTCTTTCCGTGTTGTAGATGCGTTTACAAACATACAAGTTCGCATACACATCACACCCAGATCCAAAACAAGCATCTGTAGATGACACAAAGAGTTGTTCCGTGCAGGAATCGAACCCGTGACACGTTACGCTGCAACCCATTGCCAAGGCACCGCGTCAACCGTATAGTCGCGGTTATCATTACACAGCCGAGTCGGAAATCTAAAATCGAAATAGTTAAGTAACAATAGATACCTGAGGTCGATGGCCGCTCCGTTGTTGAGCCACGTGATCTCCGGCTTGGGGTTCCCCACCGCCGCGCAGTCGAACGTCACCGACGCACCTGTCACATCATATTCATCATCATCATTGTCATCATTACTGACCAGGAGACGACGACAGCTGAACAAATGCCTCCTTAACTCTTTGAGTACCGTCATTAACAATAGGTTGCGGTCACCGGTGTCCTCGCGGTGTTTGACAATACTGTCTTTAATTGTGTCTATAATGAGTAATGACGGTACTCAAAGGGTTAAGTAAAGAGTGCTGCCATACTCCTTGGTCTGGGTAGATGATTTGAGAAAAGGAGTTACATCACCAAATATTTAAAAGTATTTCATTAACAATGGCCCATTAAAATCCTCTGTGGACAAAACAAACGAATCCGAGGTCGCAGTTTAAACGGATCCGCTATATTAGACATCTCTGCTGTCCCAGTCTCTGCTCTATATTCCCTAGAGGTGTTGACAAATATATTTTATTGTGCCGTCACCACATGGATCAGTCATGCCCGAATACTGAAAGGCTACTCAATTTTAAGTCACGCTTAATTATAGTTCTGTCTCTACTACTTCTTTGTGAAATGACAGAGATGGCACGATACTTGAGCACGACTTAAAATTGAGTAACGTTTCAGTATTCCGGCATCAGTTGTCCAATACAGAATAATAATAATAGTAGAGTGTACAATAAGTGACCTTCCATGACGGTGACAGGTTGCGGCGTGGCGATGAACCTCGGCGGGAACTCGACGTTGGGAGTCTCCGCACTCACACGCAGCTCCGTCTCCTCGCTCGTCCTGGAACCAGACACCCAGGTGAGTAGGACGGTACTTGGTTGGTTCACCAGATTTATATATATACCACGACGCGACGGTAGCAAGAGTAGCACAAGGCTCACCTGACGGTAAGTGGTTACCGTGGTATATGTACGCTTGCAACACTTGGCTAACTTCGCTGACAGACAGGCGGACGGACAAAAGAGCGTAATTAAGGATTAATTGCAAATTTGCAATACAGAGCTGGTGAAACAGCGGCGAAGCAGCAGTAGTATGTAAAGACGTCCCCTCACTTGTATATGTGCGGTGCATTGGCCAGCGCGACCCTGCAGGAGTATCGGGCGGCGTCGTGGTGCCGCAGCGGCTCCAGCTCCAGCGCGCCGCTCGGAGTCAGCGACATGCGCGAGCTCTCCAGGAGAACTGGAGACCCGTTCTTTAGCCAGGTCACCTGTATGGACGACAAAGATATTCTGCTTTAGTGGCTTGTGATAAGGTCGATATTGAGGAGATAATGTTAAAATGCAGCCTAATCTACTAGTCTCTTTAGCTGATTTTGAACTTTGCTGCTGAGCGATAATAAGGTCGATAATCTTTTGCATATATTGAGCAGATTGTAGTAGAAGGACGTGCTGTTTGTACTTCCTTAATATTAAATGTGTTATTAAGAAAAACAACCTCGCGGCGCGATATATTAGTGTCGGACGGTCTCAGAAAGAATGTGTCTCATTGTTTCAATTTGACATCAACTCCATTAATAATGATAGCGCTGATTGTGGTAGTACTTACGTTGAGGTTGAGTACGGGCGGCGCGGCGTGCAGCCTGGCGGCGCCGTACACGCGGCGGTCGGGCGGCGCGGCCAGCAGGCGCAGCGCCAGCCGCGCGGGGGCGCGGACCCCGCACGGCAGGAGCGCCGCGCCCCCCGCCGCGCCCAGCACCGACCGCGGACCGCCTACTACCTCTGGTACTTCTGTACACATACACGAGCTGGTTATTTATCATGCTACACTAGGTATGGCCGTTTTCATCAATAACCCCTAAACGATCACTTAGCGTGACGTAGCACCTGTTGTGCTGTTGATGTTAGATGCCCCTTATAGGTTGGTGAAAACATAAATGACGTTAAATGTTACCTATCTCAGCTTAGGGGTTCCCTTAAATGTTGGAGAGGTCGATGAGAACAAGCATTGGTGACATAGAACATACATAAAACCAATACAAACTGAATAAAAATTATTACGCTCGAAACCGATCGAGTATGCCCGATTCGTTTCAGGCTGCACTCCAGTGCTCATAATATTTTATTTTATTAGTAATAGATCAATGAGGCAGTATTTTGTTAACTCCTTATGGAGTAGACACTTACCCGCTAGGAATACGACGGCCACCCTGGACAGTATGGTGCCGACCCCGTCGACGCTGGCCACGCACTGGTAGTGCCCCGCCAGTGGCGCTGACATCTCCGATATCCACAGCGAGCCGTTCGACAACTGCTTCCTACACAACGAGAACAGATTAGTAGAGATTGCGTTACACGGAGGTGATCTTATTTTATGTCAACGCCCTCTATCGGATATTCTTTGTAACATTATGACATTTTGATTGTTCCAAAATATATATTATTTTATGAGATAGTGCAGCGAACGAGCAGTCGGACCACCTGATGGCAAGCAATCGCCGCTCGAGAAGAGGAATTACAAGCTTTATAGAGGTTTGGGGATGAGGAGGACTGTCTATAGAAAGAGATGATAGGATATAGTAAAGAGTGTAACAGTACAGACCTATACTTATCGCTATCAGAGATGGCATGGTCCCGTGTAGGCGGTGCGGTGGCGCTGTGTCTCCAGTGCAGACGCAGCGCTCGGCTGGAAGCGGCCGAGCACGCCAGCAGCGTGGCCTCACCCGGCGACACCACCGCGTCACCCGGTTCCACGCTGAACCGCACGCCCGGGTCCAGCGCGTCCTCGCCGCCTGGAAGCAATCACAATATGCGTTACATATCATACTTACAATGTTTTAAACTATATTTATATTATTACTCGTGAGACATAATACATTAATTATTATCGACGTGTCATAGTCGCGGAATGCTGCTCATGAATATGAGCCTCTAGCATGGCTTGAAGCTAGTCGAGTTCTTCGTCAAACAGTTACGTGGAAGAAGAAATTTTAGCAATAAATAATGTTTAAAATGTACCTACTCGTACTATTGAAAAAGTATTCGCAGACTGTGTGCGCACACATGATCACATCCGTATTGTGCACATCTGCGTATAAATATCAGAAGCTAGCTCTCGTCGTATATTGTTTATTGGTCAGGAGCCGTGCTCCGTGACGTCACACTCAAGAATGTGTTTATATAAACATGTTAAATAACAATAAATAACCGCGCCCTTCTGCGACGTCCTTGAACACCAACCATAACAACAGCACATGTGTTCCTCGTTACAATATTATACAGAAATGTTGATTGTTTTTGTTTATGGGATAAACCAGTAAACGAGTAGATGGATCACCTGAAGGTAAGCAATCAGCGCTGCCCATGGACACCCGAAACACCAAATTCAAATTGTTTATTGCGAATATAGGTCAAGTGTAGATGTTACAGTAGTTTTTATACTAAAGGTGTCATAAGTGCGTTACCGGCATTTTGGGGATTAGGGATTGTAGGATTACTGGGGATTCGGGAATTGAGTCTCCGGTAACCTCTCTCACCCGACGAAACAAAGCAAGTATTGTTTCACGTCGATTTTCTGCTCGTTGTTGGTATCACTCCGGTCGAGCCGGCCCATTCGTGCCGAAGCATGGCTCTCCCACACTTGAAATAATTTTTCGCAACTATATTTATTATCGAAGCAGACTGTATGAAGTGTTGAAACTTTGATTTACGGAACGGCGCGTCGTGTGATCCACAAATTAATGTTTGAAGTCTAAATATGGCATATGGCCGCGAAAATGTTCGTAAACGCACTTACGACACGGTATAAGAACGTGACGGTAGATGTTTTCTATAAAAAATATACTACCGCTATGCCACT